TTTTAAGTAAATAATTTTGAATTAATTACTTTTAGCATTTGTAAACGTTTGCATTTCGTTTTTCTTTGTAACAAACTGTTCTGAAGTTTATCTTTTGCTGTCAGTAGTTGGTTTGGTACTTAATTTTCTTGACTACAATTTATTCAAAATTTTTAGGTTGACTAAGTTTAAAAAAAAATCTTTCTTTCGTACGCAAAAATTTGAAATTATTGAAACTAAAATAATAAATTCATTAGTATAATTTGCTTTTAATTTGAATAAGTAAGCATAACTTAAATACTGAAATTATATTAATTACTATTAACAAATCAAATGCAGAAGTAGTAAAATAGCAAATAAAATAAATAAAATAATTTATTTTAATAACTGCTGAAAATTATTAATTGAATGTTTAACTTTGATGCAAATTAATAGCTGGCTGAGATATGATATCGAAAAAAATTAATAATATAAATTAAAATCTATTTATGATATTTTGTAAATGAAGCTAACTCGTCTTGCTTTTTGCTCATATTTAGCTTGTTAATATTAAACATAAAAGGTTTAATTCAAGCAGAAGTAATTTGTGTCAATTCTTGAACTCGTAACTTTTTTACTATATCAGCTTTATTTTTTAATAATTTTTGAAAAATACAGTTTTGATAAGTTTGTTAGTTCTTGATCTAGCCTTAGAATTAATCCAAATCTATTCTCGTATAAGTTTTGATAGTGATAATTTTTAGATTTAAAAGTACTGAAAATTTCTTTACGCATAGATAGATAAAGTTTTTGAACTACATTCTTTCCACATTTAAATTTTCAAAAGTGTATTTTTTAAAGATTGCTTAATAGCTATTAGATATGTTTTATTGTATTAATAACTATAGTATCAATAAATTACTGTTAATAATGAATTCATTTGCTCAAGTACCAAAATACAGTTTATCACATTATTTCACATATTTTTTATAGTACTGAATTCTACCAGAATAAAATTGATATTAGTTATTATAAAAAGTTTTGTGGTTCAATGGTAATAAACTGATCTACTTTGAGAATTCGTTTAGATATTTATTACTGCCTATAATAGATAGAAAATTGATGATAATAATGACATTAGGTCAAATATTAATAGCACTAGGTCAAATAATAATTCTACAAGAGTAATAATATTGAACTGTCACAAATTTGTGTTATGACTTATTCGTAATTAGAGATAATAAACGACTGATAAAATCTCAGCTATATTTTAAATACTTGCTAGTTACTGATAATATAATTTATTTAACAAATAAAATACGATTTTTAAAAAAATATTTTTAAATACATAAAAATTCAATGTATTTTATTATTTATATTTACATTCGTTTTTTAATTAATTCCATTAGAGTAGTTGCTTTCAGCTTCTTCATGTTACTTTTATTTTTGTAATATTACGCTTTTAAAGCTATCATGCTGTAATGTTTTTTACACACAATGGCAGGAATTATTTATCATTAGTTTCTAAAATTAACAGTAATCATATACAGTACAACATATCCAAGACATTATCGATGTTATTTTTCTTGAGAGTTCTTTCAAAAATTGGCTCTCATATTAAGCATGCTATTAATTTGCATACTGATATCCTCTTTCCAGGTTGACTTTTCCATCCCTATCATCTCTATCATATAGTATAACATGTGGCTTAGTTTATTGCTGTTTCCATCATACGTTATAATTTATTAATCGTAATCATAGATGTAAACGCTTCGTTTATAGATGTTTTTTCTCACGCAATACGTCATGATCAGAGCGAAAACGTAAAATTCAAGTTTCCAGTTTGATCGTACATCACTACCGTAAATAATTGACAGTCTAGTTTCATTGATGATACATCTTACTTGCTAGCGTTATATATATATGTAATTTTTTTAATCTGCAGATAAATGTTTTTTGTTGATGATTTGCTATCGCTTCATCTTATTTAGTCATCTAATTGCTATCAATTTCATTACTACAATTACTATACCAATAATAGTTAGTACAAAGAAGAAGTATTACTGTTACTGCTAAGCATTGTTTATACAGTTAAAGCATATGACGCCTTTCATGGAGAAATATGTAAATTACAAAAGTATTTACGGTTGTATCACAATCAGAAGTAATCGTAATGGTTGGCAGAAAACTGCATTCTTTATATTCATGTATTTACTCTGCTTTACTGATGCACGTTATCATTCCGTAATGAATCACGTCATGAATTCGAAACTACGCAACAATGACTTTTCACTTGATGGTTCTATTTGAATTATTTTTAATTGTGTTATTTGTTTTCTTTTTTCAAAAATGAAGTATACAAAAATTACTACCATATAAATAACTTTAATTTTTTGTATGTTTTTTTATTACAATTTAAAAACTTTGTAACTTGGTATTTTTAAGTATTTTTGGTAAAATTTACATAATTGGTATAGTTTAAACTCAGAGTAATATTTTACAAGTATAAAATTTGTTGTTAGTACCATTCGGTGCGGAAAAATTTGCATAATTGATATGCAATCGTAATCTGCATATCAAGTATGTGAATGTAATTTGAAGTAATTTACCACTTAAAAAAAAAGAATATATTAGTTTTATAACTTTTGCCTGAAAATTAAAATTATAAAACAGCCAATTAACTTCTTAGAGTTGTAAAATATGCAAATTAGAAAAAAATGTGGGTTAAAAAATTTGCATTATCTTGAAGAAAGGTTTCAGTTCATGCAAATTTTTCATTTGTTTGAATAAAATCTGCAACAGTAATTTTTTCTAGATCTACATTTTTTCTAACTTGATTTAATTAATTTTAATCATTGGAATGTTGATTAAATTCACATATCTAATATGTAAATAGTGTAGATTTTATATATATAATTACTTTGGCATTTGTCTTCAATTTTTTGATGGCATAATTTTTTACTTGCATTATTTATTCAGTACCTCAAAATAGTGAAATATCTATTTATTGCACGTTTTTTGATTAACAAATTTAACAAGCTTTATAGTAATCAAAATTTAAGCTAAAATTAATTACTGTTCGGTTGCGAACATTACAAAGTACTAAATACAGTAATCTTATCACTAATGAATGATTATTAATAACTCTTAATTCTAGCTAAAATTTTGTAAATATAACTAATTTAATTTCAGATGTGGTAAGAGGTTCAGCTATTAATTTCATACCAATTCTCGATAGTGAACGAAAAAATGAAACAGAGTTGGAAAAAGAAAAAGATGATTACGATACCCGTAACGATGCCAAAGAGGATACCTTCGGTAAGTAAGAATTACAGTATACTCTTAAGAAATCTTATGGAATTTAAATTAAGAGTAGTTTAATATCGAGTAGGAATCTATATTAATTTAAATAGTTACAGTAAAACTTATCAAAATGTATTTGTGAAATTTCCAACTATATATCGTATTGCGCGGAAAATATTGTAGAGGAGATGCATAATTAATTTTTCATATTGCTATGTCATTTACTCACTTTTTTGCAACAAAAACTGGTTTTTCTAAGTAATTAATACAAAAAGTTTGATGAAAAAAATTCCTTATGCTATTATTAATATGCTAATTTTCATTAGAGTCAAAGTTCATTAGCTTTTCAAAAGTGTAAATTGCTTATTTATTGTCTGATTTGAAGGCACTTTACCAGATATCAAAATAATTATACCTAAACCACTTTTACATTTGCTATTTTACAAGTTAGCTTATTTTAAGGGAAAACTGATTGTCGTACACAGCGGGAAAGAGCAATGAAAAAACTGGAAAATAATCCAGAAAATGGAAATTATATACCAACTTGTACAGGCGAAAGCGATATGTTGGTTATTTTTAGAAATTATGCTAATTTTAACAATCTATTTTTAAAAATTTATGCTAATTCTAACGATCTATTTTTGGAAATTTATGCTAATTTCAGCAATCAATACTAACTGTTGGCATTTTTGTAAGCGATGTGTTAGTCATTTTTTTTGAGTATATAGTTAAGATCGCTACAGCTTAATTTACTTTATATTGAATATTTTAATGGATTTAAAACTTTTCAAATTTTTATGCGTTATTCTTTACCATATGTTAGTAAAACTTTGAATCTATGCATGTAAAAACAGCCAAAATCCGTTAAATTGTTGTCATTCACATATAGTTATTTTATTATATCTAATTATCGAATATGACATTTGAGTCAGTAATTGTATTAATTAAAATGGTTGAATCGACAGATTGAAATGAAAATATCGAATATACAATCAATGTAATCAAAGATATCTCGAATTGTAATTAAGAAATAATTAAAAAATATTACCAGTTTGTTGCTTCATCTATCATATTCTAACTTAATTCCATTCTGATTAAGTAAGATAAGCTTCTAGGCATTCTGAAATTCAACTTTGAAGTAATGTCTCCGCACTGATAATTTGAAATATTCTATTTGTGTAGTTTAAATAAATATCATTTTATTGCCTTCGTAAAAATGTAGCATTTAATTTAAAAAATATACTTTTAGTTTATTTTGTTTAAAAATACAAAAGTGCAAAAATAGTATTAAAAATATAAAAATAGTCCACAAATATCGAAATTACACTTTGAAATGAATAGATTCCATAAAAGTGTTTGAAATGATATTTAAGATGTCAAGAGTCTATTCCATAGCAGAATAATCTCTGGGTATTAGCTGCTGTAATATTTTAGAAAGAAACACATAATTAGTTGCTGAGATAATTTTCACTATAGAATTATGTAAATAAAAACTTGAAAACTGGAAAACTGGCTAATTTGAAGACAGAAAATGGATTATTTTTTATTCAAGTATTTGATATTTTCAAAGTGTATTACAGACTTTTCGATAGAATTCAATGCCACCGTTTATCACATATTTGTTGGTGTGTAAATCCGGAAACAGGAATACCAGAATCTGGTACATCAAAATATAATGCAAAACCAAATTGTGATGGAAAGATTCTGCTAACTAACGATTCTAAATTACAAATTAAAGGTTTTATAATTAACTTTCCTTTTTCACATCAATTACTGCAGCAATTTGTATACAATTTAATTTTCATTACATCAAAATTAAACTTATGCAAATTTATGGATACAGTACATTCTGTATGGTACTGTGATGCTACAATGTAGTTTTGAAAATGAGAAATGATAGGTTGTTTGGGAAGAAAAAAGGCTAAATTTTATCAACGATTGTTTTCATCTGTTATCAGTGAATGGATTTTGGCTTTGGGAGATGAAGCTAATGATGATGCTATTACAAGCAAAGATAAAGCAGTCAGATGGAAATTCCAACAGCTTGATATAAACAATAACTCGGTAACAAATCATCTGCTAATTTAAATTTGTAGTTTATAATTTATAAGTAATAGTTGTTTACTTTTTAAGTTATGAGTGTGAATTAATTGCATTTCTTCAATTAATACAAAATAGTAAAGTGGAGGACTCAAATTAAGTCCTGCATTTTAGCGATTGGAGAAAAAAGAGTGGAAGCCATATCGTAACGAATTGCGATCTTTGAATAAAGTTCGTAAATGTGGTCGAAATTTCTTGCGATTCTGCGACTTTGACAATAATAAGTATATCACACTAGACGAATGGTTAAATTGTACAATTTATGGTTAGTCTTTCTGATAATTTTTTATCTATGGTTTCTAAATTAGAAGCATAATTTTTTATCTATGGTTTCTAAATTAGAAGCAAAGTAATAATTAAAGAATTCACAGACCATTCTGATTGGCAATCATCTTTTCCTCATCTTTTTTCATATTTAAAAATTTCAATAAGATAAAAATATTCAAAAACTACATGAATTTTGCAACAAGGAAATGCAGTTTATACACGTGTATTACATAATAATTATTAATGAAATAATAAATATTCCAGTGGATACAACAATACCATCAAAGCGAATACTTAAATCAAAAATCTCACCTCCCAGAAAGAACCCGTTTTTGGACATTCTTCAACCAGACGATTAAAAAAGGTTAAATTTGTCTAATTTAAATGTCCACTTGTTATTCACAAAATAAACGTAAAAGTGAGAGAGAATAGCATTAAGAAGTTTCAAACTCATTCTTCATATAAGAATCGTCTGGTTGAAGAATTAGACAAATTTAACCTTTTTCTTCATATAAGTCAAGATATCCCTTCTGCTCATTAACAAGACAAACTAATATCTCCGACCATTATAACAAGAACTTATTAATTATCTGCAGTATTATTTAACTATGCTGTATACAATTTGTTTCATTTAAACGTCATTTCAAAAAATATACCAAAAATTCTGTGAAAATATACATAAAAAAGAGATCCATTTTTGACTTTACATATTAGCATGCAAAGTAACCGATGAGTCTTTAATTAGTCAAAAAGGATGATTCTTTTTACTATTCACGGCATCAAATTATGAATGACTCAAATATTCAACTGTGCAAAAATGTAATGTTAATAATGAAGTATACATTGCAATGTCGATCTCGCTGTTTTATAATTTGATGTACTATAAAGTAAATGAATGAATGTGTTATATCTAGTGCGAGTGAAAGATTCCAAGAATCTATACTGCTCGATCACATTATCAGAATGGCAGTGCTGATCTAAAAAAATACATTAGAATCGGATGAAACAGTACGAAAGGCAACACATTGTGCACTTCATATAATTCTTATCGATATATTTTTACTCGTTCTTATCAAAATATTACTCATCAGATCACTTAGCAAAGGAAAATACTTTACACGCATCCAAAAACATCTGAAATACTTCCAAAAGTAACAAAGAAATATTGTGTCTATCGAATGATACCAGTTGCGTTTGCTGTATCAAACAAACGCTGAAGTAAAATGAGTCATGTACCTATATGCTCAATTCACATAAAGAGTTAATTTTTTATTTCTCTATATTTTGATTCCGCAACTGATCATGTGAAAAGAATATCCGGTCACGCTGAGAACTATCATTTTCAAAATATCACAACGTAAACAACGAGAGAAATCCGAATTATAACAGGTAATGAATGTAACAATGCATTAACAAGAGCCTAAGTATGAAATATGCAAAAATGCAATTTGTCAACAAAATAATATCGCCTTTCCCCAAAAAAATGATGACATTATCCATAGCAAAACTTACCATACCACTGCTACCTATTTACTTTTCACGCAAAAAAGTAGCAAATTTAGCAATTTATGATCATTCCCTCAGAAAAAAGCAATATTGTGCTTTTATGTAATGGAATACACACCAAAAGAGCAACAAGATAAACGTTGACAGAAAAACAATCATCGAAAGATAACGGAGAATAGCACATTAAAAGAAAAATAACAATTCCAAAAAATGCGCAAATAACGAACATCCTACCTCAGAATTAAAATCTATGAATTTATAATAATATATACATTGAAACTAACAGCCTTACTTTTGTACAAAAAAGAATTAGCATAAGAATGAGATCGTCAAATATCTTATCGATTATCATGCAAACCAGCACTGCTAGTCAATTGTCTGTAAATCCAATAATGCAGTCTTCGAAAAATTCAATTAATTCGACAGCATATTTCTTCTTTATTTCTTCGTACTTCATACAGTAATACTTACCACTGTTATTACTGCAAGATTCTCTCATTAGAAATTATCAATTATTTAAATTAAGTGCAAGATAAAAGGTAAATACACTATGGTTAGACGTATTGTAGGAAAGATTATCAATACATTTTTACCTGTATAAAATAATTCAAAACCATAAAAGTATGCAAAGTTACGCTACTAAAAAATTTAAATTGAAAACCAATAAGAATAAAAAGAAAGCAGCTTACTTCCGTAAAACCATTGTTGCACTTTTAATATCTTTACCATCGTCATCAGCTACACCAACAATCCTAACTTTTTTCTACAAAATATTTCATCTTGAAAATAAAGGAGCTTACAATATGATTTGAATGGAGTTTAACATAAAAGATCTAAAAGGATGGAGTGTTAAAACATAACTAATAAATGCAGACAAACTTGTGGAACTAAAACCTCAGGTTTCGTTTCGACTGATTCACTTTCGCAATTAATTCTTGCACTACTCCGTTTCTTCTTTTCATATGCCTCCACTATTACAGGGACCTGTTCTTTGATTCGTTTGGCTCGTTCCCAAGTCGGCCTACAAATAACAATTATTGATTTTGTTATGTCTAGACATTTACATTTATTTGTATACAATTTAAGAACTCAAAAAGGATACTTTTAATCAACGACAGTTAATATCTTGTTCTAGACGCTTCTAGAACTTGTTACTTTTCTGTTTTCAAACAAATTATCAGCAGACTACACAGAAATAGCTCAACCAATAAGCACTACAATAATGACAGAAACATTGTTCAAAACATATAAGCTAAGAAACAAATAAGTGCTAGCAGCACATAAAAAACAATAAGATTTAAAAGGATGAAGTATATGCATAAATATGCAAAGAAAACGCTAAAACAGACAATCAAAAAATAATCTTACACCCAAGAAACTTCATAAAATTTCTCTAATCGCGTGCCTCTTCGTTCATATTTCTCCGAAATAATGCGATCAACTTGATACCATGACCTTTCCGTCATGATATAAAATGTTCTGATTACTAAATGTCGAGGCTTATAAAAGCTGAAACACCCAATTTTAATCACATCCGAAAGGTCGTCATCTATTTACTATTAAGCAATAAACGTGCCAAAGTAACTATCACAAATCAATCGATTCGTATTACAGAATAACATGAGTAAAGTCCTGGACAATAGTAAATTACAAGTACTTGAGTAATTGCAATTTAGAAACCGCTAATTACAAAAACAGTACTGCTGTTTTAAATGATCAGACGAACTAAATCGTAGCACAAATACTCAATATTCAAACAATAAATCCGCGCAAACCACCATACTTTTAATATGTTTCACCAATTAGCGTAATGCCAAAATATAAACAATGAAGAAACCTTGAAAATGATAGTTTACGAGATCAAAACACACTATTAACTCCCATAATTCAATATTATTACTTACACTTCAAAAACATTCGAATGACGCGCGACCGACACATATGTAACGCGGCCTTTTCTCTTTTCAAAACTTTCGACTCTATGCAATACTTCGAGTCATGAGAATCTATTTCCCCCTATCAATCAAATCAATATCCGCAACAGGTACCATATCAAGAAAGAAGTAGCAAATGACCTCAAATTAACCGCTATAGATTTTGAAATCTCACAAATTTCCATCGTGGTTTATTCTATTTCCACCAATATTATATTACAGTAGGGAAAGTTCCATTTTTATGTGCAAGTGAAAAGAAAAACCAAAACCAAAACCAAAATCAAAACTGGCCATTTATCTTTATATTCTTTTAAAAGCCACCAACATCTCTACGAGAGACAATAATATACTAAGCAAACAACAAAGCTTTTCTAACATAATCGAACACCAAATATAATTCAAATGAATAAATAGAACGAGGGTTCACTCGCCAAGATGATCACTTTACAATCTCATATTAGTACTGATTTGCAAGAATCGTTTCGTAACAAGCAAGTTTAATACTAATATTACCAATTACGTTTACCGACCAACCTTAAGACATTACCAATCACATTTAGCTAGTGATGGCATGACTAGAATGGCAGCGACACTCGCTAATCAAAATGTAGCAAGTGCAATCAAGATTTATATACATGCATACTCAACAGGAATATATATAGCAGTGAGTTGCACAGTAACAACAAGTAACACTGCATTTATGTATTAAGTAATTATGCATTTTCAATTAAGATTACGTGATATTTACCTTACTTTCTAAGGAGGCATAGAATGAAGTTATAGATACATGAGCAAAGTTGAAACAAGATAACCAAAGGAAATATCACGCAACTTTTTGTGTCGAAGTACTATTTTCCATTTTATGGAAAAAATAGCAATTAAAACAAGACTATAAAATCAATAAAAAGAATATGATAAATAGGTCAGAAGTAGAGTGGTAGACTTTGAAAGCCTAGTCTATGATCCTACAAGTATACATACATATATCTATACTAATAAGTTGCGTTATGCATATATTGTAGTGTTATTTTGGTCTGGATAAACGCAATTGCTATGTTTTCAAGATATTGTACGTTATACGTCACAATATTTCACTTCATGAAGTGATTGAAAGCAGAAATTACAAGTATATGTGATTCCCATATGACTTTAGCCCGTTTTTTTTGTTTGCAACGAAACAATATAGATCAAAAATCGATAACTTAGTTGATTATAATGATAGCTGTGGTATAATGAAGGTACTTTTCAGATGCTAGATAAAAAGACGAGCAGTGCACACATATATGCACACCTCACAGCTGTTATTTGAAATGTTTCCACTGGAAGAGAAAAAAAACAAAAAAGTGTCGTACTTATATGAGACCTTTGCGGCGTTTATAGTCTTCTAGACTTATGGGTCTCGAAGACCCTCTGTTTGATATTGCCCGACTGCTGCCTGACTCAGACTGTCTTAAATTTGACTCTGTCGAATTGATTGATGAGGAGATGGAAGTAACAGTCATCGCAGCTAAAAACGAAGAAAATTTATTCATAAAAGCAGCAGATACAAAATTTGTCGATTTGAGCCTTTAAATTTGTTTAAAAAACTTTTAGATCAAATATTTTGAGAATGGATACTACTCTACACCTGCTAACTGGCAACACCAAAATATGACCTTGCCTTGCACCACCTGAGCAAAAAATCAAACAAAAACTTGGGTTATTTCAACCATTAATAACTAAGTATTTCATTTCCCAGAAAATTTCCTTATATGGTAAACGGAAATCCGTAAAAAAGATAAGTGGTAAAAGTTCACTCAAATTTTTATTTGGTTCAGTACTCAGATTTGATGCTTGTTATTAAAAACCATAGACAACAGAGAGGAGCTTACCAACAGGTATAGCAATGTCGATATCAACATCGAAATTATGGGCATTAAACAAATCTGAAACCGGACCACTTGAACTTCCTTCTCTACCCACACTGGTTAGTTCTTTCTGAGATATTGTCTTTCTAACGAATCCTGTAAATATTTGGCACGAATTCTGGAAGTGCTCAGAAAATGGCAAAAAAATCGTATGTGTTAGGTTAGCGTACAAAAAGTGATTTTAGAATGAGTTGGTTTTTTTTCCGTCAAAAATTGCACAACAAAAGGAAATATAAAGATTGGTAATTAAAGCATATCAGTGCTTGAAACAATTAAAATTTGAAAAATTGAACGCACCTACTGACATAGAACATAACAAAATAATCTTACTGCTATGAAAGCAAACTTTCCTACAATTTCATTCTTACTTGTTTTTGCATTAACTTCTAGCTCTGCTTTATTTCATTCTTTAGTACTAAATACTGAATTTTTGAAAACACTATCTAAAATTAAAATATCAACAAAGAGAAGCGAATGAGGAAGGTAGAAGGAAAACTGACTATCACCAGCGCTGCCTCCAACTGAATCCATATTTTCATTTGTTTGCTGGTAGATTTTATCTTTACCAGAAACAGGCTGGAATTGTTGAAAAATATATAGAAATAAGTTGACTTGCAAGCAAATTTCTTAATAACTTTGCTACAATAGAAAACTGATTACGAATATCAAATATTAAAAAATGATCAAATTTGATTAAAAATAAGAGTTCAAACTTACAATACATGGTGATATTGTATGAAACAATTTTTTAATTACATATTAAGAATTTATGAACGCATCAGCTTGGAACAGAATTGGAATAATGACTATAAACCTTCATTCGAGCATTCTTGCGGGTGAAAGGGTCGTCTTGATTCGCTGTCTCAATTTGTATTTGACCACTGAGGATTGCTTCCTTGATGGCTTGTCTATTACGTTGATTAATCCAGCTAATTCCACGGATACTCTGTGAACGACGTCGCTCCTGTAATATTAAAATGCTTGCTTATCTTTTTTCAACTCTCCAATCATAATTTGTGTAAATTCGAGCAAATCAACAGACTATTCACAAAAATTGAGTTTTTCATATATTGTCATGGATAGCATAAAATTTGAAAATAATTCAAATAGCATACCAATTCAGAAGCTCTAGCTTCCAAGTCATCAATCTGTTGTTGAAATACCTGTACTTCTTCAACATTTCCGTATTGTTCGGCTTCTTGCTGCAATGAAAAAATTGGAATAAATTTCTGCAACACATTTGCAAGAAAGAAAAATGAAGGCAATTTTTTTGAAATCTGAAGAGGATGATTACTTGATTCAAAAACGGTAAATAGGGCAAACATACGCAAAACAACACAATATCAAATAGTAAGAGTTAGTAATTTTCTTCTAGACTTAATATGTTTTCCATTTCAAAGTTTTCAAACACAGAACGAACATTCAGCGTAAGTCTGAATGAAATAAAAGAAAAAACCTTACTAAAATCAAAACTCAAATGCGTCATAGTAACTCCACTATACTACAGTACACTATGCTACACTACAGCGCAACATATTCATATCATAATCACCAATTCCAATTATACTAAGCAGTTGCAAGGTGCCTTATTCAGCAAGCAATTACAATGACTTGTACTGCAGCTATCATGTATCTAGCAAGGATGAATTCTCCTGCAGTGTATTTAAAACCCATAAACGCGTAAACGAATGATCTAGAAGTCAAAACCACGTTTTGAAGAGTTTAAGTATCTAATTTGTAGAGCAAAACATAGCATTAGCTACAGAATTCAATCAATCAATGTGAAATAGAATGAAGATGGAAAATATACAGGATTTTCTTAACAATTTCTAACTACTATTTGATTTAAACGCTTTATCTCACGCGCTGGTTTCAAATCATTCTCCTTATAATCATTTTTTAAAACATCGTACTGTACTGTTATGTCCACAATGCTATCCTCGTATATTATTTACTTTCATAATTACAGATAAACAGTGCGTAATCTATTTTTTTTAAATACAGAAACATTGCCGAAATCCAACTTTACCAGACTTTCAGTTCTCACTTATTTTACGTATTTATATGCGCTATCCTTTCAATCATGAAGAGAAAGATAAATCTTTACCACATTCCAGCTGGTTAATTCATTTTATCCATCACTTCCAACGCAATTCCTAGCTTTTGATAAAGAATATAATAAAATTAGGATAAAGATTAGTGGAATAAAAATTGAAAATATTATCAATTATGAAAAAGTTAAGATTGATATCAATGATTCGTATATATGTCTACTGCTTCTTTATTTTAAACCTAAATCAAATTGTTATGTAGAGTTAGTTACTGTAACACTTTACAGAGACTGAAGTGTTATTTCGTGCAACTTTTATTTGAAGTAACGAATTGTTGACAAAAGAGTAATAAATTATGCAAAGGATGCAAGAAAGGGAAGAAATGAGTTCGTTACTCAGCACATTCATTCACATCAATCAAAAAACCATCTCAAACCGTTTGATTCACTTATCGATCGATTACTTTGCATTCCTTCATTCACTCCTAGCCTCTTTCTTTATTTACAAGCAAATACTGTTTGACATTCAGATGTGTAATTCACTTCTAGGGACATGATCTGATGATAAAAAATCTGAAGATGCCAAGAATGTACCGTGCTTGGAAATTATACTATAACCAAGAATCTAAGCTTACATATCAGTCTAACTTCATTTTTGCATTTAATTTCTTTCCTAAACATTGCCTTCTTGAAATCGTTTGTATTTTTAATTCAGAAAACACATCATTAAAGCAATTAAAACCCATTTACCACTAACAATAATCTAACCATACTTCTGTTTAACATCAAAGAATGCTCCTCTTACATTTGCTATGCTTCTGTTAGCAAACGATAGCAACAACCAATAAAGTATAAATATGATAACAACTGTAATTACAATCGATGATAATTTATAACAGAAGTGATTAACAAACTGATTAATGAATGGGAGAGAGTGTTGTGGAAGTGTTCATGCAATTGAGCTCGAATAAAAAGTCATTTTTATGACTGATGATTATGAAGTGATTGAGATGGTGCTAGATGGCGCAATAATTCATTTTATTTAGTAATGATCTTTTACTCATTTTTGCTTAATGCATATACAACATTTTCACACAGCTGCTTCCCTCAACAAAACAAATAATAATAACTTTCACTTCATATAACTTGCTTATTCAATCATGCAGCAAGTGACTCAATAGCATGATTCAGCGATTAATGCTCGGTACAAATTGTAATTGATATGAGTGAGTGCACTGCCAAGTGTGTGTGAAGCAAACATCCACAGTTTGTATCAGATTAACCATCTCAATTTCAAACTTCATTCTTGTTTACCTACCTCAAATCAAAGGAAAGGAAAGACAAGACAAGACTGCAATCAAACTGACACACATCAGTTAGGTCATAAATAGCGAGCGTCCCATGCAATATACATCATGTGAAAAGTATACAAAAAGATAAAAATTCTACCATTGCCAGTTTACAAAGAATAGTAAATTGAGCAAAAATAAACACGCAAAACAGGTACATGCCATCTAACTTTTTCCCAGTCTCAACAATTTCAATTTACACATATCATCAAAATTTACCTTAATCAAAACTAACTACTATTCGTTAGGTCAACACTGTAGTCTCGTCTCCAACTTACTTTTCCGATAAGTTTCAACACCACGTAAGTAAGTTTTTTAGTTCAATACGCTATCCCCCTGCCCTATCATATTACTTGATACTACTAGCATCACTACTTGCTTGTTTCCAAAATTAGATTACAGAGCAAACATCTACTACCAAGCCAGTATCATTCGATACTTATCTTCAGCATAATCATGAAACATATTCACATAACATCCAAGCACAATACACCTTACACAATACACATTTGCTTGCAGTTATCATAAATATATAATATCGCAATTATTGCTCGCATTTGCAGATAGATATTTTCTCAGAGAATTCATTGAAAATTTGCTTGCAATAGTAAAAATAAAGCAAAGTGGCAGTGATATGACCTTTAAAACGAATAAATTATATGCCTTCACATTTCGTCTGCAAAAGGGTTACGTTCTCGCCCTATCAGTAACATGTATTAAATAATATACAAGCTTCTTTCTTTCTGTTTTCTCAAGTTTAGATGTTTATATTCAGACTGGAACTGCTGAATAAGCGTGTCAATTGAATCACGTTTTCTGACATACTGTTCGAATCTGAACAATGTCAATTATTTATCTCACTTTGTTCTGACTAGTTTTTAAGCAAAATAAATAATGCACCATTACCATATCGTCATTATTCTAGATTTCTACACAAGAGCGACTAATAAAAATTTAATCGTTAATAATTATCAGAATGACTACAAGATAAGTTTAATTTAATTACTTTTGACAAATACGTCCCACTACTACTACTGCTTTATTACAGTAAGTAAGCAAGTGCAAATACTAGACTTCACTTTAATTAATAGCACTATAGTGTTTTTCACTTTGTAATAATAAGAATAAAGAAAGATATGAAAGATTTACATGTGATACTTTTAAAAAGATTAAATTTCATGCGTAAATTTAGCACTCGCAACAAAATAGATTGCAGAGTTAAATGTTGTTTATTTATAGCTGTAATGCGGTCACAACAATATACCAACTGTTTATTTCTATACTATTACTATTACCACTATGCAAACTGCAAACAATAAACACATTCACTTGTTGGCAATTTTCCCTCAAGTCATTTCAACTTATTTTTAATAACAAACTTGACGTTATCTTATAAACTTACTTCACATCTAATCTAATCTAGTCTAATCTAAGGCACACAAGTAATCACAGCAAGAATGTCTTTTTCATCTCGGTCAACTGTATCAGTCTTATACTAACTTATCAGTAAGTAGGCATATTCAAATCAGTCATATTCAAAAACTTATTAATCTGAATAATTTTCTAACAAACTTCTGTTTTATTATTCTAAGGCCTTATGCATTTTTGTTGCACAAAAAACCTTCCACTCAATAACAAAAAAATCAAATCTGTTTGGTACTTTTTTTCAAAGACCACAGGTTACGCTTAACTTATTTTCCTCTCGCAATCCATTCCTGGTACATAATCAGCGAGAAGTAATCGATATTTTTTAAATGCTTTTTTTAAGAATAAAAAAACCTCTTCGCGAACATCAATCTACATCACTCGTATCCAAATGAAATATCATTACGTACCAATATAATATTACTATTATTATCGTCATTATTACTACTGATGACTACCCGCACTCACATTATCATTGCTGTTGTCTTCCTCACTACTATTGTCACTATTACATGACCTAAAATCCATCCTCCATTTAATAATAAAATTTCCAAGAAACTAATTTTTTCTTCTCGGACTAAATTTCACAGTTCTCACAGTTTTAACGAATGCAGAAATCAAACAGTTGCACTCTTGAGTAAGTAAGTAGTAACCTATTTTAGTTTAAAAAATCAAAAGTTTTGATTCATTCAAAGAGAATCTGTCTGTCTACTAACAACCATCAGCCATGCTTTTATTCATCCATCCATTCTATTTTCAAACTCATTTTAATTCTTTTTTGCAGAAATATGCCCAAAAATTATCAAAATATGTTCGTTACCCCTCAAGCATAAACAAAGACCCATACTATGTCGTTTATTCGTTTATCTAAGCGCACATTTAATCATTTCTCAGCTTTGCGACACATACATCTCTTTTTGCTCCTATCCATAATAGCAACAGTAACCCTTTTCTTGCACACATCTCATTTTCATATTCGATGGATGAGTACCTTTAAATTTACTTTCTTTCTCAATTCAAATATTAACATGCCTGGCAATTAACAAGCTGCAAAATTAAGTGATATCATTCTACAATGTTTTATCGCAATATATGCAAATGCTCAGATCACATATACATATATACACTCTACAAAACGCAATTCACACGCAATTCGCACTTGGTGTTAGCAGGGATTATGGTCACTCATTTTATAATGAATCATTGTATGTAATTTCAAAAAAGCATGCCCTGATAGTGTAAAATATTCAAGAATCACTAAGGAACTATGAGGCGTAATGATGGAATTAGCAGTTTAAGATTTATTAATTCGTCAGCAGCGAAATTCCTCCACACTTGCACTCATTGTATTTCATACTCCCTTCTTTTTTTTACACTATCTTTCACACAATCATTTCTCTTCCTCATAAATAACACCTAAAAATCCGTTCAATAATACAATGCACTTAAGCGAACAGTCTGATCTTTCGGTCAACTAAAATGTGTCACTCAATCGTTCTTCAAATTTCAAATTTCTCGCTCAGTTGCTCATATACACGTATAATTTAATTAATACCTCATGTTACATAAACTACGCTTTTTATTTAATACAGCGTAAAGATGACTTTACGCTTTTTAAATAAAAAATAAAAATAAAAATAAAAAAATGAATAACTTCAATAAATATAATACTTCATATTATACAATATTCTCAACTAAATTTTGCATATTTCACAACATTATAGACTCTCAGCCATTTATACCTAACCTATACCTCTGTTCCGTATCCAAATCTTTTTTGCAAAAATACTTCTCAGAAACCCAATAATATATGCATGCCATTGAATCTTTTTTCACGAGTTCAGTGAATTAATTCGCTGAAGATTATTTTTATTACAACACTGACCTCATTCATTTTTCATTCTTTCTACACCATTCATTCAATATTTTTCACTGCAAATGCTTTATAGATATTATTTGTAGTATTATCAAAACCGGAAAGTTGTCATCTTTACATTTTTCATCGAATAACCGAAAAAGAGTACACAAAGAATGGAAAGAGATAAGAGGATAGACGAAATCACGTCAATTTACAATCAAAATTGCTGATCCAGAATCTATATTACACTTTTCGATATGGAATGAATGTGCTGACATCAATATTTCATTCCACTCTATACATGTATGCTTATACTAACTCTATGCTTATTTCTATCCATAATTTCATTTGCATATTTCACAGTACTCAATCCTTTAGCATGGTACTACTGATTTCAATTCGTTTGACAATAAAAAATTGTTACACAAAAATGCAATTACAGAAATAAAAACTATCAAGTCTTTCCAATCACATAAAACATACAAATGAATTATTGCTAGCAAAATATATCAAGAAGAAGACGATATTTTACCCCATGCACTAAAATGTGATTTATGATTCTACATTTCGTTATACTAATTATTTAATTTAAAAAATAAGTTTCAATTAATGATCACTATTTAAATCTGTCAAAATCCACAGATATAAAAAATATAAAACATGCCAAATTGGGCAAATTTTTCAATATCAAATTCTGTGTGATAAAGAGATGATTATAACTGTCAGTTTATACTGTCTAAGAATATATTTTCAATAAATTTGATAAACAATTGAGAAAACTGACTGATAACATTAAGCAGTCATATCAGTAAGTTTAAGATGGTTGCGTGCAAGAAGTGAAGAAAGGAACAAAGATAGTTAAGATAACCTAATATGCAAGCAAAGCATTAATACATTAGTGAACAGAAGTTGATTCTTGTTTTCATGTAGTTTCTGACTTTCATTTCTATCACACTTTCCTTAACACATTATTATCACTCTTGCAACAACAAAGTATTCATAGACATCATACCACACACAAACGCCCGTCTCCTTCATTAAATACCAAAATTCCTTATTACACTCACTCTGTTTCATTTATTATCAAATACATTTTAATTAAAAAACTAATTCTCCATTTGGCAATCAAAATCAAAATCTATATTCGAAATGTATCATTCTGAAACAAGATGATTCACTTGTTTCTGCATGTATATGCTTCTGTAACCCATCAAAACTTTTCTAATGTAATTTTGCCACATTAATTTTGCATGTTTGTTCGCACACTATGACACCATTTTATAGCAAGAAAAAATTATTACCTATTCATTTATTTAGTTAGTTCAAGTAAAAGTGTATATAATTCTCAAACTTTTACTCATTTTCCAATCAATCTTGATTATAGTTGACAAATGAAATATTTGTTTGATTTTTATACTAGCTTGCGCTAGCAGAGAGCACGTGGAGTCTGTCTTGTTTCCTTTTTTTGTTATTTTCCATCGTGACGACTAGTTTCTCCCTTTCACATTTATTTCTGCTCATCAGCATCATTTTGTTAATAACTACTCAAAATTACCGCTTTACTCAATTATCATCAGCTTACTGTCGTCCACCGATTACGAAAATTTTTAAAATCGCTAATAATTAATTATATCGAAACTAGTATTAGTAGTTCACATTAATCATATTAACAGAAGACAAAAATTAAAGCTGAATTAAGTTATAATGAGTTTAGATTATTTATTTTATCTTTTTACTCTTTTCTTCCTTCCTGTAATAACAAAATGTGTATGAAATTCTAATAATTTGTAACTTAGTAAAGCTTAAAAGCACAAAAGTATCAAAATAATTAATAAAGCACTCTGCATAATAAGTAAGTAAGTAAGTAATAATCTAGCATAAGTATATTTTCATGCATCAATACACAACTTATTGTTGAAATGAAAACTTAGCAGAACAATAATGACCAAATTTGTATGCTCCCTCGCCACTTACCCTTATTTCTTCTCCAACATGCATACATACACCTTCAACACTTTCTACGTTAGTGCAATGTTATTACTGTAAACGTTCCAAAGGAAACACTAAGCAATTTTTTTTTTTGCATTTTAATTCATTTCTCACAAAAATCTTCTATTTCAGTATGTGAGTGAAACCTTTGCACCCTTCGTTACTCATTTTTGTATTCAAATAAATGCTGTCTGAATTTGTTTACATCGTCAACACCTGCATTACAACAATGCTATGTCAGCAACAACAAACTAACTAACTAACTTATTGCTCATTACTTTATTCTATCCTACTTTACTTACTTTACTTTACTCTACTCTACTTTAACTGACTCAATCATTCTATGAAATCTCATCTTAATTTTTTTCAGTGTAAAAAGTATTTCTACTTCTTTTCAAGTTCTTTAACTCTGTTTCAGCTTTTCATTACTTCCTAAGACATACCATGCATTTCATTGCTTTATTTCTAATACAGTAAATCACAAAATCAATACTTCACTGTAACTTGAGCTTTAAGAATGTTCACATCTACAGCGCATTCCTAAATTTCATGGAATGATTTGAAATTTTCATATATCAATTATTCATGAATGCATTCTAATATATTAAAAGTCGAGATAATTATTCCTTACTTGCTGTTTTATTTTCATCGTTCCCAAAATTTTCTAGGATATAAATCTTGCTGCAGCACATTTTTCTCAATCACTAAATGACACCCCGTGCTCTATAAATTGAAATTTGTCATTTAATTTTACCCCACATTCTGATATTTTGTCCATCTCCACACTATTGTCTCACCTATACCATTATATTATGTTATATTCTTGGCAAATAATGAACAACTTACAGTCCACAAACAGGTTACACAATTTTCTACTTCAATTCTATAAAGTCAAAAAATTATTTTTTTTCAATAACTAACTAACTGTCCAGAGAAAAATTTGCAATAATTTTTTCTCATCCAAAATTCGTAGACCATTATCATCTTCTGTTTGATCGCCGACAGTCATGTGAAATATAACCCTTCTTTGAATCTAGTTTAAGCAAAACAGATTCTATTTCTCGAAAATATATTCCGCCGACTAGGAACTGAATATGTGAGAGTTGAATTTAAAACTCTTCTATACCATACTATGTGTAATTCTGATCATAAATTATAATGTTCATATCGTTGAATTTTAGAAGTTAAGTGAGTACTTTGGTATTATACTCATATTATTGACTTTATTTTCATTCTTTCCCAAACTTCTATCCTTTGAATACAAAATCCTTTTAGAACAACACAGTAAAGACCACAACTAATACTACTTTCAAGGTCATAAACATGCGATACAAGCTACCATGTTTCTCATATTTACCTTACTACTGTTTGGTGTCTATACTTGCAGTTCAAATCATCTCTGAATAAATTTTTGATTTTGAGGAGCTAAAAAAAGATTTAAAATTTAGATGTTGAAAGCTGAAGATTTGGACCAAAATTCACAAGATAATTTAGCAGCAACTGTCCAACCAACAGTTACAGAAAGTGTTACAAGCAAGCCCGATATGGATACTCGTGGACCACAGTCACTTCCGTCACATGCAGCACCCGCACCATCTAGGTTTCATGATTTACAACTAATTACACTAGTCTATCAACAAAGACGTACTTGACAAACCAGTTTGTATTTATGTATCTCAGTATTCCTTTAAGCAATTAAAAGGATATGGAATGGAACAGTGGAATGATAGAAATACCTAGAAATTTATAATGTGAGATCAAATTAGACACCAACGACAATACTAGTTTTACAAACTATTTTACCTTTCGATAACCCATCAAAAACAAATCTAATTTGAAATTGCAGTCCAAAGCAGCAACATAAACGTCGCTTGAAATTTGATATGTCTAGCAAAATCCAGATCATTCCTGACAATCGTCAGGGACAACTCAATACTGCTTATCTAGCCACTATTCCTGGTGTATTGAAAGTTGCCGAGATTGTAAGTATTATTACTTTTCACCTCAAAAAGGAGACAGAAAATTTCAGCAATGTTAGCAAGTACTGATTAGATATTATAGAAGAGAGGCAATTATTTCTAATTAACAGAAAGTATGAATGAACAACAAGTAAGATTCCCTACAGATAAAGACATGTGTAGGTAAAATTAAATCGAATGAAAATGAATTAAATTACTAATGAATGCTTTTATTAAATGAATACACTTCCAATGTATGCAAATATTAGGCTCTGTCGTTTATATCATTCATTTTGGCAATCTGTGCGGATCGAAATGCCACTACGGCTGCCTGGACTGAACATATATCTTTCGCAGCTACACTTATTATTTCCGGTCTAATGATAGGATATGTCTGCTTTCCGCATGTAACAATTAAGAAGGAACCAACTAGAGAAGGACTTATAATCGCGGTAATACCTAGCATTTCTTGCCTCACAGTTATTTTATTTGCAAACATTTTCTTTGGTATTTGTCACAATTATATTCGTGTAAAGAGTAACAAATAATAATTATCCCTTCAAATGTAATGATTCTCAATAAATTGTACGAGATGAATTTTCACTGAGTAATAAATAACAAAGTAAAAATAATATACATCTTTGAATTTTGATTTCAGGAACTTATTTTTTATGGCATGGCAACTCTGCTTTTCTTCATAGCAATATGGCTTATGGTGCACCTTTCCGCCAGTTGGCTTACTTATGGACGTGGTTCTGCTATTATTGATGCGGTAGATTATTTTTTAATTTTACATCATTGCTATAGCAAGTTGACAATAGATTTATCAAAACTTTGGAAAAGTTAGAGACGTATATTAAAGTTAGAGACGGATATTACTGAAAATTCTAAAACAAGCATAAATTTAAAATATTTTAAAACTGGTTTTTATAACGCTGAATGATTTGCAGATAATCTGCGTGGCATTAACCATACTCTTTGGTACAGAAACATTTATTAAACTAAAAGCGTGGAGAGGTGAAAATGAATCCACATCCCACATCATTCAAACATCTAGGCCAATAACCGAGCAAGGAAAACATTACGATGCAAATGCAGAGCTGCGCAGATCTCAGGAATCTGAACTGGCTTAAAACTAATAAGATGCATTTTCTATTACTCGAAAACAAAATTATTTGATAATATAATTATTGGCAATAATAACTTCATGTAACAGTCCCAATGATTGTCAAATTTCAGGATAATTAAGCTAACACTTTAATACAAAGCTTGCATGGCTTTTAAGACAGAAGTTATGAATTATTTTAACTTGTCTTAAATCTAAAATTTTTCTACTATAAAGAAGAAAGATATTGTCAAGATCAAATAAACCGGTGAAAAAATTAAATTAAATCACAACATGATTCAACCATCAGTTGTAAATTCATAACATATCGTGTGCTAATTTTTAATTGATGCAAATATTGATTCTATTTATGTAATTCTACCTTAGATATTTCCTTTTCGATGTCTGTTATAAAAAAATACATTAAGAAGCTTTTCTCTAATCCTAGTAAAACTATTCTTATCTTAATCCCATCACAGTACACACAGCGCAGCTGGAAATATACAAACAAAGAAAGTGTATAGTCTTATAGAACGAAGAAAGGACGGAGATGAATAAAAATCGAAGAATTGACTGGTTAAAAGTACTCCATCTGGAGAAAATTAAAACAATAGTGGTAATACCTTTTTAGAAAAATAATATCAAAATTACAAAACATTCCAGATTTATAAGCTGTTGGTACTCACAATTACAAAGATCTAAGCACATCCACGAAGAATTTATTTTATAATTCATGATAACAGTCCTATAATTCTTAAATACTAAGATAAGTATTCCCCATCTCATTTATCTCAAAATTTTTTAACTTCGCATCCACATCTTGAATACTTCCATTTTAGAAAAAATTAGATCTACTTTTTATTGCTGCAGATAATGAATCAAGAATTTTGAAGATGATAGACTGATTCAATTCAAAAGAAAATGATAGACTGATTCAATTC